TTGTAACAGTTGTCTGGAAAGTAGTAACAGTAGTCTGGAAAGTAGTAACAGTTGTCAGGAAAATAGTAACAGTTGTCTGGAAAGTAGTAGCAGTTGTCTGGAAAGTAGTAACAGTAGTCTGGAAAGTAGTAACAGTTGTCAGGAAAATAGTAACAGGTGTCTGGAAAGTAGTAACAGTTTTCTGGAAAGTTGTAACAGTTGTCTGGAAAGTAGTAACAGTTGTCTGGAAAGTAGTAACAGTTGGCAGGAAAGTTGTAACAGTTGTCTGGAAAGTAGTAACAGTTGGCAGGAAAGTTGTAACAGTTGGCAGGAAAGTTGTAACAATCAAGGAAGTAAATATAAACTGTAAATAAGAAAAACAACTTTTGTGGAATGCTTTAGAATGAGGCTGGAAAGTCGGAAAAATTGCCTGAGAAACACTAAAAGTTGTCAGGAAAGTAAAAAAAAAATGGAAAAGTTACATGAAAAGTAAAAATTGACAGCTGGAATTTCACACTTTGTCTTGTCAGTGCATATGCACATACATAGTTTTTAGAGAGTTTAGTCTGAATAGGTGATCAAATAAGTGATCAGAAAAATCAAAATGAGTTGGTGGTTTAGTTTTACACATGGTAAGGTCATTATGTTTATTCACAGTAAGATAATATATCTACAAAGTTTTAAATTGGGCAGACTTTTCAGTTAATTTAAATATGTGTGCATATGCTATAAAAAAACAGCAAAACGTTGTTGTATTTTAATTAGGCGAACTCAATTAATCTTCAAGGTTTTTTTAGTGAACAAACAAATTTTGTCTCATGATGTTAAAGCTGGGGTGTCGTCACCTGCGCATGCGTCAGACGGCCATAGCATGTCATTGTTATTGTACAAACAAGCGTCTACCCATGAGCCTTTGCATTTTCAGCGTGTGTTGTTATTATCGTTTAGGACTCAATTCCAGGGCATGCGCAGGTGACGACCCTCTCGCTTTAATTAAATCAAGCAATGAATGCTAGTATGTGAAAGTTTGAAACTGTACAAATTACCAGTAATTTTTACCGATACATATACGAGCATGAAACCATTTACATTTTTTTCAGAAAAGATGGTTATATATGAATAAATTAATAGCAATAGATCTGCACATCTATGTACAAAACATCACTGGTATGCATTCATATAATCAGAATATGAGCAAAACAACAATGTGTACCAGCAATCATAATCATTGCAGATTAAGATTAAGCAGGGGATTTTGCCAGTGCAGCAAAACTTTATAAAACCAATTTTTATTCATTTAAAAAAAGTTAACATCATTTAAAATTACTTAACTGTCAAAAATATATACATCTACTATATAACAGAACAAAAATATTCATTACACACAACTTATAATAATACATAATAATTATACTGTTTGAAATTAAAATGCAGTACAATTATTATCTGTAATAAATGAAATCACCAATTGTTGTCATGACGATGAATTGATATAAAATATATACGGGGTTGTAGCACAAAACCTTGTGTAAGTGAACTGAGATCTGAGGTTGCACTCTCAGATCATTCCTAAAGCTGCATTGGGATTTCAGGGCCAATACTTATGAGATATCTGATGAGCTGAATTTGTGTAAAACACTCAATTTTCAGTGATTTTCAGCATGACTGAAAGTTGGAGGTAATTTTGATTTGCTAAAGATTTTGGAATATTATTTCGACACATATATTTTTCTGTTTCAAGTTATGGCCATCCAATTTGGAAACATGAACAAGGCCTCAAATATTTCATTTGATTTTACATATATTGCATAATTTCTTGAAACTTCTCATATCACTCTCATATTGTGTAGAAAACGTTACCAATGATAGATGCAATCAACATGGTCAGGCTTAATGTACATGAGTGGACAGCTCCATTCCAGTTAGCTGAAAATGAAATAAAAAAATAGTATATTTTTATTTTTGGAATTCGTGTGCATTATAATTACTCAGAAATCTTGACAAGATCAGAACAGCAGCAAAGTGACCGATCTGATCCTGTTAACATGAGTTAATGCTACTTTGCATACTTACAAATTTGTTCTCTTTAGAAACAGTTTCCCGGTACTTATTAAAAGACTTTATTCTCACGGAGAAACGACCGGTGACCAGTTGCATATCTCCTTTATTTCGCAATGCAAAGTTTCTAAGATCGCCGACCACTGTACCAAACGTTTGCCATTAAAAGTGGGTTGTATTCACCTTACCCATACCTGGTGTTAACACTCTTTTAGCCTACATAAGTGGAATCAAACAGGTAGTGTATGATTAAAGACACTTGAAAGAACATTAAAATAGAACAAATGTGGTATTATTTCTCAAATCATATCCTCGAATTTTGTTTACACAATAGACAGTGATTTGGATCAATGTGTTACAAATTTCTTTCAAAAAATAGTAATGTAAAAGAAAAATAAGAAAGACTGAGTAATCAATATCCAGTTTGGTGTTTTCTTTGCAACCATGTACACATGCACTGTTGTCAGTTACATCAGAAACTGTGTTGATTTATATCAAACTACATATGTAGTTTATAATACCAGCTTCAGTTTCAGATTTTGCACTGTATAGGCATCCGGGTTGTCTTTGAAAATTTTACAAAATGTTTATATAGTATGACAAAACATGTTTTTTTCATTAACACACACATGAAACAAAACAAAATATAATTTGAGACATTTTGGATTCTGAGCATTCACTATAGGACACCTTTGAGAGAAAAGAGTCAAGAATATCAACTTTTGAAAAACTTCAAAAATGATCAATAATCATCTGCCATGGACAAACACACAGTAAATATAGCAAACGTATGCATAATGTAAATACTTTATTTTCGCTCGGAATAAATTTTCGCTATTTTCGTAATGATTCAGCAAAATAAAATCCAGCGAATATACTATTTTTTCTATATTTTACTTTCAACTCGCCAAATCACAGTGAAAATAAATTCCACACAAAACACCCAAAAAGTCATTTCAGCAAAAATTGATTTCAGCTATAATAAAGTATTTCACAGTAATTGAATTGAATATTGTTTTGCACAATTAAGAATCAGGAGAATAATTGTACCTGGATGACGTAATAGTCAGCTGGAGTCATAACTTTGGTATCATTACCTTCATTCCATGTTAAATAGACAGTATACAAACCAATCAGCACTAGGAGGAGGGTCTACGGAAAACAACAAAATAGAGTTCCTTGGAATCTTAAAAGATGAACTTGATTATGTCTGATCTAGATTGGGTTATAAGAAATGCAGCTAAATTGTCGTACAGTCATGCAGGCTGGATCAGATGAACTGCGGTGCCGTATCAAATGATTAAGTCTCGAGTCGAGTCAAGTTTGACCAATGTATTATATGATACAACAGGAAAGACTTTCGCCACAACTTCAGTGGCATTCATGTTCAGGCAAAATTAAAAATTATTATAAAAGTGGGTCAACAAAAGTGAATATTGACCACTGTGGGTCAACAAAACTGAATATTGTCCTCTGTGGGTCAACAAAAGTGAATATTGACCTCTATTGGTCAACAAAAGTGAATATTGACCACTGTGGGTCAACAAAAGTGAATATTGACCTCTGTTGGTCAACAAAACTGAATATTGACCTCTGTGGGTCAACAAAACTGAATATTGACCTCTGTTGGTCAACAAAACTGAATATTGACCTCTGTGGGTAAACAAAACTGAATATTGATCTCTGTGGGTCAACAAAACTGAATATTGACCTCTGTAGGTCAACAAAACTGAATATTGACCTCTGTAGGTCAACAAAACTGAATATTGAACTCTGTGGGTCAACAAAACTGAATATTGACCTCTGTAGGTCAACAAAACTGAATATTGACCTCTGTAGGTCAACAAAACTGAATATTCATCTCTGTGAGTCAATCAAACTGAATATTGAACTCCGTGGGTCAACAAAACTGAATATTGACCTCTGTAGGTCAAGAAAACTGAATATTCATCTCTGTGGGTCAACAAAACTGAATATCGAACTCTGTGGGTCAAGAAAACTGATTATTGACCTCTGTAGGTCAACAAAACTGAATATTGACCTCTGTGGGTAAACAAAACTGAATATTGATCTCTGTGGGTCAACAAATCTGAATATTGACCTCTGTAGGTCAACAAAACTGAATATTGACCTCTGTAGGTCAACAAAACTGAATATTGACCTCTGTAGGTAAACAAAACTGAATATTGACCTTTGTAGGTAAACAAAATTGAATATTGACCTCTGTTGGTCAACAAAACTGAATATTGATCTCTTTGGGTCAACAAAACTGAATATTTACCTCTGTAGGTCAACAAAACTGAATATTGACCTCCGTGGTTCAACAAAACTGAATATTCATCTCTGTGGGTCAAGAAAACTGATTATTGATCTCCTTGGGTAAACAAAACTTTGCTTTATACTGAACAAGTCATGTCATATTAGTTAAATAGTAAACAAAACTAAATTGAGTCAGCCATTTTGAATCAGAACATGAAACAAATTACATTACATTAAAGTTTGATTGTGATCATTCAATGCATGTAAGAGACATGTCTCTATTACAGCATTTTCATTCAGCCCATTAGAATCTGATCTAAAAAAACATTATTATAACATCCTGTCATATACATGTTCAATGTATGTACCAAGATATAACCGATATCTTGATGAATTTTAACATTAAAATGGATGTCATTCATCAATCTTGAATCAGGTGACCAATCAGCATACAGCTAACTACAACATGACCAATCAGCATACAGGTAACTACAACATGACCAATCAGCATACAGGTAACGTGACCAATCAAAATGCCGGTAACTACAACATGACCAACCAGCAAGCAGGTAACTACAGCTAACCAATCAGCATACAGGTAACATGACCAATCAGCATGCAGGTAACTACAACATGACCAATCAGCATGTAGACAATAACAACATGACCAATCAACATACAGGTAACTACAACATGACCAATCAGTATACAGGTAACTACAACATGGCCAATCAGCATGCAGGTAACTACAGCATGACCAATCAGCATACAGGTAACTACAACATGACCAATCAGCATACAGGTAACTACAACATGACCAATCAGCATGCAGGCAATTACAACATGACAAATCGGTATACAGGTAACTACAACATGACCACTCAGCATGCAGGTAACTACAACATGACCAATCAGCATACAGGTAACTACAACATGACCAATTAGCATACAGGTAACTGCAACATGACCACTCAGCATGCAGTTAACTACAACATGACCAATCAGCATGCAGGTAACTACAACATGACCAATCGGCATACAGGTAACTACAACATGACCAATTAGCATACAGGTAACTGCAACATGACCAATCAGCATGCAGGCAATTACAACATGACCAATCAACATACAGGTAACTACAACATGACCAATTAACATATAGGTAACTACAACATGACCAATCAGCATGCAGGTAACTACAACATGACCACTCACAGCATGCAGGCAATTACAACATGACCAATCAGCATACAGGTAACTGCAACATGACCAATCAGCATACAGGTAACTGCAACATGACCAATCAGCATACAGGTAACTACAACATGGCCAATCAGCATGCAGGTAACTACAACATGACCAATCAACATGCAGGTAACTACAACATGACCAATCAGCATACAGGTAACTACAACATGACCAATCAGCATGCAGGCAATTACAACATGACCAATCAACATGCAGGTAACTACAACATGACCAATCAGTATACAGGTAACTACAACATGGCCAATCAGCATGCAGGTAACTACAACATGACCAATCAGCATGCAGGTACCTACAACATGACCAATCAGCATACAGGTAACTACAACATGACCAATCAGCATACAGGTAACTGCAACATGACCAATCAGCATGCAGGCAATTACAACATGACCAATCAACATACAGGTAACTACAACATGACCAATCAACATACGGGTAACTACAACATGACCAATCAGCATGCAGGTAACTACAACATGACCAATCAGCGTGCAGGTAACTACAACATGACCAATCAGCATACATGTAACTACAACATGACCAATCAGTATACAGGTAACTGCAACATGGCCAATCAGCATGCATGTAACTGCAACATAGCCAATTAGCATGCGTAACTACAACATGACCAATCAGCATACAGGTAACTAACCAATCAATATATAGCTAACTACAACTAACCAATGAACATATAGCTAACTACAACATGAAACAATCCCCATGCAGGTTTACTAAAAACTCATATTCATGTTCTGTGTTCATACCTGGGCACTCTGAAAGCACAGCACAAGGAAATGCCTTCTGGTTGACACCTGGACAGTCATAGCCACCATACTGTGCGAGTGGGTTTGTACAGCTTCTAGTGGACACATGGTGACCATACCCGCCACATGTGATGCTGCAATTAGTCTATCCTGACCACAATCCCCAACTCCCATCAACTTTTAGTGAAAATTGAAACAAATACATTATGTTAATTTACAGATTTTAGATAATTTGCTGTGTGAAAGGTTAGTAAATGACAAAGTGCAAAATAAAATGCAGGTTTATTTAAAAATTGTTTTCCATGGAAATCAAGGCTTTCCCAACTGCAAAACACTAGTCTCAGTGATTATTTTGCATAGAAAATTGGTCATAGTTCAAAAACATGTTAAAGCGGAAGGGTCATCACATGCACACACACGGGAATTGAGTCCCAAGCGACGATAACAACACACGCTAAAACACAAAGGCTCATGGGTAGAAGCTTGTTTGTAAACAATGACACGCTATGGCCATCTGGCTATGGCCGCATGCGCAGGTGACGACTCCCATCGCTTTAAGCTACCGTTTTTTATTTGAATACTCAAAAACCCTGTTAAGTGAAATTTTGGGAATTATTGTCTCAAAAGTGTGTTAGACACAAAAAATATCCACTTTGTGGGCAATATATCAGGTCATATGAATTGTTTCATCCTGTTTTCAGACACGTTTGACTGTTTGGGGTGAGAAAGACAGAAGTTAGATTTGTTTGAGTATCTGCTTGGTCCCTAAAATTCATCAACTTGTTTAAACCTTGAACAATGTAGGATGGTGAAATAAATATTACTCACTTGGACATGGCTGGGTAGCACACAGCATACTGCCATCCATTCCCTCTTTTCATTTTAAATTCACAAAATAGCCCTGTTTATAGTCTGCACTTTCCTTCAGAAGATTAGAACAAAAATAACCAAATTTTTTGAGTAAAAACTGAAAATTGACTCAAATTTTGTTTGTTGGCTCCAAAATTAGGATTCATTCCCACAAATATTGAAGAATATAAGAAAAAGGTGCAGAAAAATTTGGGTGAGAAAGTTTGGTGGTGAAATTCTTTTATTTTTTCACGTTATATTCATCCAAATTTTTGAGACAATTTAGACAACTCACTTGGACATGG